ATGCTCCCCCACCTGTTCATCATCACTGATACTCTAAAAGAGAAGGATTATTGGCAGGTTTTAAGGCTGGGTACAGCTAGATGATGAGGTACTGACCCAAGTCACGGGTTCAGCAGCAGCAGAGCTTGACGTGGAGCAGGGTTGCTCTTTGGTTGCTTTCTCCGCTCCCTCAGCCTTAAGCCCAAGAAGGCATGGGGAATCCCTCAGATGAGACCACCACGCTGACCAGGGCTCAGCTGAGTTTAATCTGCCTGAGATACAGCCAGGGGACCCCAGAGGGAAGGTGGTTGACTGTCCTGCACGCCTTGTGAAATGGATGACTTGAATGATGTGGATGGAACAGGCAGAGGACCCAGAGCCACACATCCTTGTGTCCTGACCACCTTGAAGTTGGCATTGGCATATTGCTGCCATGACCAGATGTCAATCAAGGTAGACTTGTAAGACACAAGAAATCCAACGGTTGTGCCACGACGGTCTCTGTGAGTATATATCTGTGCTGGTCTCCATGAGGGAAACTAAAGTCCAGGAGAGCCTGTCTAGGATACTGGAAAGGAGGCTGAACAGGTAGGTGGTAGGCCTGCCTCCCCTGGACCTCCCTTGGCCTCTCTTCAGCCTTTGGGGGACACCGAAGGAAGGCAGAGGCTCTCCCAGATGGGGAAGGGGGCCGGTGTGGGAAAAGAAGGAAAAGGTGCAGTCATATAAACAGCACTATAATCTAGAATTTGACAGATCAAATGGCAGACTGTCAATCGGTATAGGTTAGACTTTGCTCTTTGTAAAAGCAGATAAGGTCCTAGAAACTTTTGGATTATTAAAAAATATCACAATTTTCCCTCCAGTGTCAGAATCAGAGCTGTGTGACACTGGGTATGGCCCTTCCCCCCCGAACCTCTAATTTTTCACCTGATGAAAGGGTTAGGTTGTCCGCTCGGCCCACTCCCACCACGCTGTTGCTGCCTTGGAGGCCAGTGGTTGGAACACAGCTTGTGCAGGTGCCACAGGGACCATGGGAAAGTGGAGACCAGGAAGCCCGTGCTGGTTCTCACACTCTGGGTGTGCAGGAATTTCAATTCCTTGGACTGTCTGCTAGTTTTAAAATGCATTTCAGAATAAGGTGTTTTTCCCAAGAAGCTGGTTGTGATGAAATGACTCTGCCCCTGACCTCTAAACTTCCCAGTTCCTGGCAGCATCGTTAAACAGGAGAGGGTGAGGCTTCAGGGTGCTGGCTCTGACATGGCCAGAATGTTGCCTAGGAAGGGAATTTCTTCAGAAATCCTGCCATACCTGCTCATACTGTGGCTGGCTCATACGCCTGTGGGGGCCAGAAGAGGGCTGGAGTTACAGGCAGTTGGGAACTCCCTGACATGGGTGCTGGGATCCTAACTTGGGTCAACCACTAAGCTATCTCTCCAGCCCCTGAAATATATTCTTTTCTCATAATGTTCTGCTTTTAAACATTACTTCCTGAGATGCTGAATTGTGCGTGCTTCCTCAGACAGCCGTACATTTTCCTGAGAGCTTTAATTCCCTTTGCTTTGGTTGGTTTGTTTGTTTCTTGCTTTTTGTTGTTGTTGGGTTTGGGGGGGGGTCTTTTTTTTAAGACAGGGTCTCCCTGTAACTCCAGCTGGCCTGGAACTCACTATGTAGACCAGGCTGGCCTCGAACTCACAGAGATCCGCCTGCCTCTGCCTCCCGAGTGCTGGGACTAAAGGTGTGCCCCACCTGTCTAGCTAGCCCAGCTCATTTCCTTTGTTTCCTTCCATCCTGTACTTGTGGCTTTCACTGCTGAGGCAGGCGGTGGAGCCCATCTCCTGTCTCCACGTGGGTTCTAGTCCCACCCTCCTCCAAGAATAGAGTGGGAAGAATGACAAGGGTGCAAAGTGGAGGGAAACTGTCAATTGGGATTATCAACCCTAAAATATGATAAAACAATTTATGGAGGCTGGAGAGATGGCTCAGTGGTTAAGAGCACTGGCTACCCTCGTAAAGGACCTGGTTCCATTCCCAACACCCATATGGCAGCTATAACTCCAGTTCCAGGGGAGCTGGCTCCTTCTCGGACCTCCTCAGGCATTGCACGACACGGGTGCACTTACACACATGCAGACAATACACTCATACACGTAAATAATAAAAATTTTAAAATTAAAAAATGGAAAACAATTTAAAACATATTGGGCATTGAACGACACGGGTGCACTTACACACATGCAGACAATACACTCATACACGTAAATAATAAAAATTTTAAAATTAAAAAATGGAAAACAATTTAAAACATATTTCCATATGGGATTTAAATGAAACAGGTTTGAACTCTCAGTAGTGGGATGTTAGCCAAGACTGTTTGCTCTGAGAAGTGTTACAGCTCTGGGGAGTGCCGCAGCTCGAGTCCTTACAGGGTCCCAGCACCAACCAAGAGCAGTTCCTTCCAGAGCAAGTCTGTAGGTCACCCGTAGGAGTAGCAGGTGATGGAGATGAAGCAATATTGGGGATGAATTCCTGTCTGCTGCAAACGTTTAGACTTCCAAGGCTGAGGAAGGACTGAGTACCCGTTGCCTGCATCAGCTGGTCAAGTCCTAGAGGTTGGCTCCAGCAAGCTCCACCTCTGGGACAGAAGCCCCAGCCTAGGGAAGCCTCCTAGGAGTCGGTCTTAGAGGCTGTCTTCCTTCTCAAAGGGGCCAGTCACCTGGGTGTCAAACCCGACGTCATCAATCAGGCTTCCTCATGAATAGAGCAGGAGCCAAAAGAGACAGATCTGGGCTTTGAGTTTTCTTTCTCTTCCCCTGTGGCTACTGCAGGAGTTCTACCACTGTTCTGTCAGTCTGAACTGACAGGGCGCCAGCCTGGCCTGAGTAGATCCAGATAGGTTGTAAATGGGCATGCAAATAAGTTGAAAAAATAAAACCATCCAGGGAAGAGTCATCAAGCCTGCTGGGGAGGGGAAGAGCCCTGAGCCCACCAAATGTTCGCAGTCAGGTCCTGAGGTTTCCCTTCCGCTTGGAGACTTAGCTCAGCTGCGGGTTCTGTGTCTTTGCTGAGGCAGCTGCTGCTGCTGCTGCCTTAACAGCTGTCAGTGGTCCACTCCCTGCAGCTTCTTTACCCTGGAGGCTTGAGCCTGCCAGCACTTAGAAGGCTGTCAGAAAGGTCCAGGTAGGGGGCCCCACCTACTCCAACACTGCTTCCTAATTTTCTTTCAAAGCATGATGTCCATGATGTACTGCATCAAGTGTCCTTTCCCCACAGAACTCTGCACTTAACTCCATTATTTTATGTGTATGTGTGTATTGCCTGCATGTAGGGAAGTGCACCCGTGTCATGCAATGCCCACGGAAGTCAGAAGAGGTTGTCAGATCCCCTGGAACTGGAGTTACAGTTATTAGCTGCCATGTGGGTGCTGGGATTCAAACCCATGTCTTCTGCAAGAGCAGCCAGTGTTCTTAACTGCTGAGCCATCTCTCCAGCCCCACAATAATTCTTATCATAGTTAGCTCCCCGTTCCCTATACATAGCCTGCTCACAGGACTTCAGGCATTTTGTCGTATGTGTTAAGGTCTATCTAGTCAAGTTTGTGTACCCAGATGGTTCTCGGTGTGAGTTCGTCCACTGGAGCCTGTTCAGCCTGTGTAGTGTCACTCCCTTAAACAGGATCAACTCTTTCTCTCTCACAGCCGTGATCAGCTGCCTGTCGCAACTCTCCAGTTTTCATTCCAAGAGCTCTTCATTACTCCATTGTCATGTATTTCTACTCTGATTACTTTTGATTTCTCTCAGGCAATTTTCCACATTGATGCCTTCCTTGTTTTTGTGATCTTAAGCTACAGATCCATAGTTGTTATGGTTTCTTTTTTCGTTGCTATAACAAAACACTCTGACCAATACCAACTTAGGGAGGAAAGGGTTTATTGGGTCCCTGGTCACAGTTCACCAGGGAGCCCAAGGTGGGAACTCAGGGCAGGAGCCTGGAGTCAGGAGCCAGATGGAACACAGGCCATGGAGGAATGCTGCTTAATGACTTGCTCCCCTGGCCACTGTTCAGCCTGCTTTCTTATGCAACATAGACCCATCTGCCCAAGGGTGGCATCACCCATAGGGGACTGGGCCCGCCCACATCACTCAGCAATCAAGAAGGTGCCCAACAGACATGGCCACAGGCCAGTCCAAGGGAGACAATCTCCCAATTGAGGCGGCCTCAACCCAGGTGTGTCAAGGTGACAGCCAAAGCTGTCCAGCACAATAGTTAAGGAGACTTGCTTCTGCATAGAGTTATCTAATACCAGAAGGTAAAGATGTTTGTTTTCTCTAGACCTTTTGATTCAGTCCTGAACTCTGATTTTTTTTTTCACTCTCATATAGACTCAAGGCTTCCATGAATACGCTGTGGGACTGTGGGATTGGGAGACTCCCCTGGCTTCCATCCTCATGTCTCCCTCTCTGAGGCTTGACCCACACTCTCTGAGCTGTCTGCCTTCTCGTCATTTCTCCAGATAGCCCCTCCGCCCCGCTCTACTTTAGTCAGCTGTGCCTCCCCGCTCCAGTGCTGTCTTCCGAACATTTCTTGGAAATGTTTGTCTCCGGTCAATCCTGGTTCACTTTTCTTGGCAGCAAGGTGGATAGAAGTGGTCTACACACGCTTAGTCTTACCTGCTGGCTGTGAAGCAGCCATCACCCTTAAAGGATTCAGACCCTGACAAGCCACTTCACATCTGTGTTTTGTTTTACTCGTCTGAACAGGGACAGGAGTCGTGCCCTTTGAAGGCTTTTGGAAGAGCACTGTGAGTTATCATTGATGAAGTCTTATAGCAACTGGGGTGCAGAGTGAAGTCCGCACATGTGAGACACTGTTATCTGCAGCTGTTATGAGGCCAATAACTGCCCTTCCTCCCACATTACTGAGGGAGGAGTAGCTTCATGGCCATTTGTGTTCTGTGAACACTGCATACACCTTTGCATTCATTCCTCCTCTTCTCAAGGCAAGATTACCTCAACAGAATTTGAATTTCTCTCTATATACAGCCTTTTTTAAATCAAAGATTTCTGAGAACGTGTAAGAGTGAAGGAATGAGGGAGTCTTTTAGATAGACCCACTGAAGGGGTACCCCTGTTGCCTCACCCTGTTCAGCATGGAAGAAGCCAGTGCAGTCTGCGTCATGGTTCCCTACTGGCAATTTGGGTAACCTCTTCAGAGGATGGTGTGATAAGAATAGGAGTAGGAATTGGCTAGGCAGTTAGGGTAAAAAGACCCCCAAAGAAAAGTAACCAGTTTCTTGACTAAAAGTCAAAATGTCCTTGGGACTGTTAGCAACATACTCTGTTCCAAAGGCCAAAAACGTCAAAAGTATTTGGGAGCTTGTATCTACTCCTTAAAAGATTTTAGAGTTACCTCTTCAAAGGAGGGGATGTTAGAGTACTCAAAAGCCCCATAAAAATAATAAATGAAGCCGGGTGTGGTGGTGCATGCCTGTGGTCCCAGCACTTGAGAGGCAGAAAGAAAAAGAAAGAGTACATGAAGTTATCAGAAAAAAGTGATGGAGAGATATGGGAGGAGTTGGAGGGGAGGGAGTAGGCGTGGATCTGATCAAAACACCTTCTATGCATGTATGAAATTCTCAATAAATTTTTTAAAGCTAAAAAAATAAGTGACTGAAATGAAGGCAGAAGAAAGATATTAAGGACGGTTAGATGCAAGCAAGGCTGAAGTTTCTACACAAAATGCAAACCGCGGTGGTTTGTGCATTTTGTGGTCAGTCACATGTTCCCAAACATTCTAGCAACTAAGAGCAAAAGGAAGGCACAGCCACATGCTAAGTACATGACAGCCACATGCCAGGTACAAGACAAGCTAGGCCTGAAAACCAAACCAGCTGAACTAGTCAGAAGTGTAGCCATCCCTGGTGCTGAGACCAAAGAGAAAAGTCTTTCACTGATTCTCGCAGTGTGGCTGGTGGGCAATGTTATAAAGAACACCCTCAAGCATCTTTCCAGTTAATATGTGAGTGTTGTATGGACTTTTAAAGACATCCTTCAGGATGAGAGCAACCCAGTAGAGCAATGGCGGGTGGGGAATGAAAGCAGACAGTGAGGAGCTCAGAGTACTGTCAGAGCTGCGTGGCTTGATCCAGAAATTGATTTTTAGCATGTTTAGAGGAGTGGAAAAGCTGCAAATCCTCCAACTAGTCTCCACAGATGCTGTTTCTTCATTTTTTGACAAGAACCAAAAGGTATATGTTTAAAATCCTAAAAAACAAAATGAAGGAATGTGTATCCTATACACTGTCTATATTTGAAATGTTAATACCATGTAACCCGGGCACCCTATTCGAGAAATGTCATAAGGAAATCATTTCAAATGCAGACAGTTAAGCGCAGACAGAACATCCTTTGCTCAGATCGGAAGACATGACATGCTAGGTACATGACAGCCACATGCCAGGTACAAGACATGCTAGGCCTGCAAACCAAACCAGCTGAACTAGTCAGAAGTGTAGCCATTCCTGGTGCTGAGACCAAAGAGAAAAGTCTTTCACTGATTCTCGCAGTGCGGCTGGTGGGCAGTGTTATAAAGAACACCCTCAAGCATCTTTCCAGTTAATATGTGAGTGTCATGTGGACTTTTAAAGACCTCCTTCAGGACGAGAGCAACCCAGTAGAGCAATGGAGGGTGGGGAATGAAAGCAGACAGTGAGGAGCTCAGAGTACTGTCAGAGCTGCGTGGCTTGATCCAGAAATTGATTTTTAGCATGTTTAGAGGAGTGGAAAAGCTGCAAATCCTCCAACTAGTCTCCACAGATGCTGTTTCTTCATTTTTTGTCAAGAACCAAAAGGTATATGTTTAAAATCCTAAAAAACAAAATGAAGGCATGTGCATCCTATACACTGTCAATACCATGTAACCCGGGCACCCTATTCGAGAAATGTCATAAGGAAATCATTTCAAATGCAGACAGTTAAGCGCAGACAGAACATCCTTTGCTCTACTATTTTCATAATTGTTAGAAATAGCATAAGGTCCAATAGTTACAGGAGAAGAGTTGAGGATAACAGCACACCGCAGGGGTAGGACGGTTTTGGGGAAGATCCCAGGACCTCTTGAGATGAAGGATGTTGCAGAAGCAAGGGGGTGTTGTCCTCAGGAAACCACAGAAGACACCAGTGAATTCACTAAGACAGAGATTTGCCACTGGGCACAAGACGTTGCTATGGAAAGAGAAGAGCCATTCACAATACACAAGAGAACAGGAAGGAATACACCTGTGTTTTTAAGGCAATGTAGTCTTCTAAAAGATGGGGTGTGGATCAGAATGCCTTGGGTTCAAGTGTTATCTCTAGAACACTGTGAAAATTCACATATTTTATTAGCTGAACATGTTTTCATGAACTGTTCTTTAAAGTGAAGTCGCAAGGGTTCCAACATGTAGTATATGTATAATCACTTAATTTTATGAGTCAGGAGCCCAGAGCATCATGTACACTTAAGAATCATAAGCAATTGTCATTAGTACAAACATGGTTCTTACTCCCAGGTAGCTACCAGAATATTCCTCCTCATGTCTCTAAAGTGCAGATTCTGTAGGTTGTTTTTCCATGGCTCTGACCTCAGCTAATCACTTCCAGGATGTCTCTGCCTTATGAGGGTGAGGGCAGAGGGGATAGAGCCAGATGTTAAATAGCAGTGACAGAGCCAGAGTAAAAGAAGCACTTTGAGTTAAGACTTGTTGGTTCTTGGTAGCCAAGGGAGTAGTTCCTCATGTCTCTAAAGTACAGATTCTGTTGGTTGTTTTTCCATGGCTCTGACCTCAGCTGATCACTTCCAGGATGTCTCTGCCTTATGAGGGTGAGGGCAGAGGGGATAGAGCCAGATGTTAAATAGCAGTGACAGAGCCAGAGTAAAAGAAGCACTTTGAGTTAAGACTTGTTGGTTCTTGGTAGCCAAGGGAGTAGTCCAGTGGAGGAACCAAGGGACCAGATCCCTGACCACCTGCTTTCCCTGCAGCTGTCCCTGCCCCATCCCATAATGTGCTCTCTCTTCCCTGCAGCTTGGACACCTCAGGAGCTGTAAAGAAAACCTTTCAGTGCTACCACAGAAGACCCAGAACACAATGGACATTGTGAAGAAGGTGGCTCTTTCTTCAGGTAATCACAGCCCTCTTCTCTGACTGCTTCCTGCTTGTGGCCTAGAGGTACTGAGGCCTCCATACCCAGTGCTTACTGAGACATTGAGGACAGCAGGCCTTGTGGCCTAGTGACAACTTCCAATGTCAGTACGGTTGGCTGTCTATTTTGTACAATTTGAGTCTGAGGTGATTCAAACATTCCCAACACAGACTAAATACATCAGTTACCTTTTCCAAGTCAGGTCCTTTCGGGTTTGGCCAGCTACATATCTGTAGATGACTATGTATTTTATTTATTATTATGTATGTAAGGTAAGCTATAAAAATGATTCTCCCCCTTACCATGTTCAGTATACTCTGATATTACCAATTCTATACCCTCTTGGAATTCTACTATTGACCCAATAAGTTAACATTGGAATCCACTAATGAGTTTAAAGCCACATTTGAAAACGTTGATTCCACAAACAGTTCAGTGTCTGGACATGTGAGAGGCTCATGGTTTCATGGAAGCCAACACCGGTGCTGTCACGATTGCTAGGGCTTCACTTTCTGAGTGCTCTTAGCTGAACAGTTCATTTGACTACAAAGAACCATGACACCTCCCTCGTGTATGAGTCTTCTGAGCTGCCATCCCACAATACCACAGGACAGGGGTTTTCAGGAAACGTGTCTCTCTCAGCTCTAGAAGTCAATGTCCTTGATGAAGGAGTAGCAGGTTGGTTCAGGTTGGTAGCAGGTTGGTTTGCAGAAAGAGCCAGTTCACTGTGTCTTGACATAACCTCCCGTGTGTACGTGGAGAAGAGGAGGAGGAAAGAGGGCAATGGGGAGAACATGTGCAGACACACATGCATATGACAGATAAGTAGATAACAGATGATAGATAAACAACAGAAGGAAGACAGATAGATAAGCGCTATCTTCTTTATTTTTTATTTCTTTGTACCCTACTTGTTAGAAGGATACAAATGCCATGGATTAGGGCCCTATATTTAGGGAATCACTTAATGTCCATTACTTCACTTCCTTAAAGGTCCTGTCTCAAAATATGGTTGTTGGGCATAAGGAATTTTACATATGAACTTAAGGACATAATGGCATCTCTAACACTGGTGATGTCATTAGTAGTGATGGTCACATGCTTGGGAACAAGGGGTTTTGCCATTTTACCTCCTTGATATTTAAGATTGTCCACATTGTCTTCCAACCCCATTCCTCTTTTTCCCATATAGAATCAAGACGTGTTGTCGAAGAAATTGCTAATTACCTGACAGACACACTGAAGACAGACTACCTGGGTCTCCTGCTGACTGAAGATGCAATCTGGGAAGCCATGGTGGGAGAGGCAGGATTGTCCAGGTGACCGCTGCAATGCACCCATCACCACAGCCCTCACACCACTGGCACAGGCAGGCCTGCATAGCTGGTTTTCTCAGGACAGACACATCAATCTAGTCAGCCCCAGGGGTGAGGGTTTGGGGCACTTTGTCCCAACAATTCATGAGGTGTGTTGGCCACCAAGTTATTCCCTGGTAGGGATTCACTTCAGGTTGATTGGAAATGGTACACACAGATGACAGGACCATATTTGCCATCTTCAAAATATGTGTCCTGGGCAAGTTAGCTTTCACTTCCTGACTTGGCTTCATCATCACTGAACTTCAGTGTGAGATAAATAGGATCTTGCATGTGGAGGGCTTAGCATGTGGCCAGCACATAACAGATGCTCATGAAAGTTAACTTTGGAAAACTGTGATAAGAGATCAGAGCCAAGAGTCTCATTCTAGGAGAAAGGAATCAAGGACTTGTTTGGGATCAAATCAGAAAAGTCTGTACATGATTACCTTGTGTTCCCAAGATCTTGCTCAGCCTCTTTTCTCCCCCCTTGAGAAACTATAACACACAACAGGATTCCTCTGTGGGCTAAGGCAGTGGCAGAGCCCAGAAGGCAACTGAACTGAGCTGTGTTGGACCCTGACTGTCCTTGCCTATTTCAGGGACTCCAGGCTTATGTCTTGTAAACCCACATGTGTCATCTGTTCTGTGGGAATAGGAATCCAATGAGATATGATGATATCATGGGATGAGCAACAGATCAGAAGTGAGGCTCCAAGTGCCAGGACGCTTCCCAAAGTCCAGAGAAACCAGGGCTAGGAGCACAGCGAGAGGTCATGAGTAAATGGGAGTGGGTCTTGATAGAGGACTAGTTGGAAAGCTAGGACAGCAGGGAGGAGAGGATGAGGGAGAAAGTGACTGAGCAGAGATCAGCCTTGGGCCTGAAGGAGACATGTAATAGGAAGAGGGAACATTTCCTCCAGCCCTGCTTCAACCTCACACTTCATGGGCATCCAGGGCTGTGCCTGGTGTTGCCTCCACATCCTACGAGAGCTAGGGAGATCTCAGAGGACAACTGGGACTCTCTCTTCCATTCTAAATGTCAGGAAGGGTGTGTGGCTTACAGACAGCTTCCAAAGTCTGTGTGGCTGAACGACAATTTGCATAATTCAAAAGTCTGAGGAGACTTCCATGTCCCCACCATGGAAGAAAGCATTTCCCCTATTATCTTGTGCAGATTCAGGTGATTTCTGACCTGAAATGATGAGGTTACTACATCAGGGTCACAAAGTCCCTTACATCTTTGTGCGGGGTTTTGGTATGTTCACTTGTAACACGGTCACCACCTATGTTGTCAGTTAGCCTGGTGACCTCTTTCTTTAAGATCCTGTAGACTGGAGCTGGGTGCAGAATGGGTATGTGGAAAGTCAGCGTGCAGTTAGGATTAGCAGCAGCTCTCCTGCTTCCCTGTTAACTTGAGCAGGAAGAAAAGACCCTGTGACCTGGAGGAAAAGACCATCAGGTAATAGCAGAAAGAAAACAGCATTAAATCATCTTGAGGGTCTCCTCTACCACTGAGGTGTTTTGTTTTTATTTATCGTTTTAAGTTCTCAGAGATAGCTAAATGGCAATGTCTGAGGGAACAGTCCCAATGAGCCCATTTTCCTTTTTGATACCATCTGCGAATTATGGACTGCCATAAGCCAACCACAGAGTTGAGAATGTATTCTAGAAGAACCTGCTGGACTCAGGGAAGAAGGTTATCCCATAGTTACACATGACCACAGAGCAAGAGCACAGGTTAAAAATCAGCCAATGAAGAGACCCACAGGACAGAACCTGGGACAGAGTCAAACTTGAAGCTTTTATCCTTTGTACTTAATTGAGTTCTGCAGTATGTGTGACAGATCCCATGGACTATTACTTACCAAGAAAACTCACCCTGAGAAAGGAAATTCATCCTGAAGCAGGTTCACATAGTCAGGAAGACACTGTTCAGAACGATTGTCCAAGGGGACAGAGATGGAGTCGCTCTGCATACAGGGAGAGCTGGAGACACACAGCCACCAAGTGGTGAAGGCAGTAAACAGCCAGTCACTAGCAGGGACTCCAAGAACAGAGCAATTCCAGTGACAGTGACCTCATGGCACTCCTCCTTAAAGCCAACTTGGGGTCTCCCTCCCCTCATGAAAGCCAGTACCTTTGGTCTCCAGTTCCTCTGGAGGTCAGAAGTGACACACAGTTCCACCACACACCACATCATTAAGGTTGAGTATTTTTATAGAAAATTCTTGGAAAAAGATGAATGTCGGAGCCTTGATTTTCCTGATTTGAAATATTTACAGATGTTTAATGATATAACTTGCATATGTTCTACACTTGAAAAGCTGAAAAATGTGTTGACACCATGTACAGATAGACTAAGATGATTTTAATCAATATTTCTAAAGCATTGCGTTTTTACTGTCATCAATCCCATGAGTCTCAGTAAAGAAACTTACCACTTTGACATCACATCACTGATAAAAAGGGTTCAGACTGTGGAGATTTACAAATTTAGGCTTTGCACACTTACGATGCTCAATCTGTATGTTTCATGGCCAAGGTCCCCAGGCAAGTGCAAGCATTCCTGCAGGCAGGACATTGCAGAGGCTGCACGTGACTTCCCAGCAGCTGACGGCAAAGGGAGCCTCTCTGAATCCCTGTGTTCATCTACAGTTCCCAATGGGAAAACAGTGTGATAGTGGTGGCAATGACCTTGAGTGAAAGCATCTTTATCAAATGCCTGTCACTATAGTCCTTCAACAACTCTTTACACATTGTCCCCTATGGACTGAGGACCATGGGACATCTATGATATAACAAATGTCCATAGTAGAAGCAAAATTATGTACCTTTGCAAAATTATTTTCCATCAGCTTTTTGGTGTAAGTCTGTCATTTGAACAAGATGGATCATAAGGATCCCATCTCGTAGCTAAAAAGACTGACTTGGACTTGATCTTGACCTCTACTCTTACAGGGAGGAGGAAGCCGCAATACGTGACGCTTTGAAAAAGTGTGTAGCACCTTGGGCCAACAAGGACAAAAACTGTCTTCAAAAAGAACTCCAGGACAGGAAAAGGTTTTTGGAAGCCTTTCCTCGCTTGGAAAAGAAGCTTAAAGAGTACATCACTCAGCTCCGAGATATTGCTGACCATATTGCTCAGGTGCACAAGGGCATTGCCGTCACCAATGTGGTAACCGACTCCACTAGCGTAGCCTCTGGAGTCATGGGTATTGTTGGTCTAATTCTTGCACCGTTCACAGTAGGGGGCAGTCTCGTGATTTCAGCAGCTGCACTGGGCCTGGGAGCAGCAGCTACTGTGACCAGTGTTACCACTATGGTTGCAGAGGAAGCAAGCAGGATGTCAGATATGGCTAAAGCCAGCAGCCTAGTTTCAAATGCCATGGGCATAATCAAAGAGATTGCACAGATCATGCCTATGGTTACAATCAAAATTGCTAACGCAACCATAGATTTAATTCAAACCCCCAAATCCATTGCACAGCACATCCGTGCCATCAAGATGGCCAAAGGCAACCCTAACTTAATAGCAAATGCCAAGAACCTCACAACCACTGGAACAGTCTCTAAGGAGGTAAAGGATGTCTTTGGAGGCACTGCTCTAGCACTGTCCAAAGGAGCCCGGTTCAGGTCTGCAGGAATTACAAGTATCTTTGTTGCATTAGATGTGTATCACCTTGTGAAAGATTCAATACATCTGGGAGAGGGAGCAAAGTCAGAGTCGGCTGAAGAGCTACAGCAAATAGCTCAGAAGCTAGAGGCGAGGTTGAAAGAGCTTGTCCAGATCTACAAGACTCTGCAGTCAGAACTGCCTAAGTGAGACCCTCTGCAAGCAGCACAGGGTCAGAGGAGATGGCCTGGATGGGGAAGGGACATAGTGGGGGCATTTTGTTAGAGGGGAAAATAGAGTGCGATGAAGTCTATGGAACTGAAAGATTTCTATTTCTGCCTGAACACATTGAGGTTAATGTAGATGGCTAGTGGGTCAAATAGAAGATCCAACTACAGTATGAATTAAGGGATCAGAGGAGACTTGAGAGGGTGGGGAAGGGGACTAAGGGCACATTGGGGGCTTGGCTAGAGATGGTTGTATGGGAGAAAGCAATAGGAAAGTGAAAAAAACTGGAGAGCTGATGATGGCAGAAAGCCCAAATTCGTTCTGAATATGGAGAAGACACAGCAACCCCCACCATGGTCCATCCCAACAGTATGATGTTCCAGTGAGCTCAAGTCCTCACTGGAGTGCTCTGATCCCCATGAGGCATGTTATCCATCTGGCCATCAGTCCACTGCCAATCTCCACTCCTTTCTTTCCAATACCAACAATGTCACTATACCCTTCTGTCCATCAGGCTGACTTCCCTATGAGAATGTTAAAAAATGATACTGATGATGATGGTGGTGGTGATGCTGAGGGTGGTGGTGAATATAAGTGGGTGGGTGGGTGGGTGGGTAGGTGGGTCTCTTGGCAAGTTTCTAACTCTCCACAGGAGCAGGATGACTTGAGGGGCCAATGAAATTCTAATGAATGTTTGTAATATGCTTGGTCAGTGGTTCACTTGGAGGTGGAGAGTGAAGACAGAATTTAATCAAAATTTAAGATTTTGTGGTGTGGAGATGTTTACTATTTGGGGTCTTTAGATATAGCCTGTGAGCCTCAGTTTCCTCTCAAGCTGGGGACAGGGTAATGGACGAGACAATGTCTCAGATTACCTGACTCTTCTCTTCTTTTGTTCTATTAACTTTGGTTCAATAAATATTAAGTGATTGTTCAGGAAAACTGTGTTTGAAACAATCAATTGCCACAGAGAAGGCATTATGAGACCCAGTAAAAAGGCAGAAAGATTCAGGATGACACCAACCGTAATCTTCTGTGGAAGCTATGGACTAATGTGAAGGCAGGGGAGGCAGAAAGCCTGGTGGTCCCTGTCACACGCGTCAAAGGGAGGGAGTTATGATGGTTATAACATGGTGAGCAGTATGTAGATGGCTTCATTCAAAGTCACAACGTGTCTGATCTTGTCTCGGCTGACACCAAGGATACTGGGCATGGTTCTAGGACTGACGTCCTCGAGGTCCTTTGCAAAGCTCCACATGACACTCCAATGGCAGGGAGGTTAAGCAGGGAAGACAGGTAGAGGTTTTATGGCCATTCTTGATAGTTGTGACTCAAGATAGTTGCACTTAGGACATGATGGATCCTTGCCTGACACACTGAGGCTGTGTTTTATTGGGTAACTGGAGTCATGGGCACAAGTTTCCTGGACTTCCCTTTATCATGAACCATCTGCCAGTGGGTCAGGGAGCAAGTCCTTCATTGATTTCCCCTCTCCATCCAGGCATTTAATTCAGACTATGCCACCTGAAGGCCACACTGGGACACTGGGTGAAGCTCATACATATCAAGCTGGGTTGAATATAAGGGCATTCTTCAGCATCAGCCAAGACTGGTATTAACTAGGATCTGGGGCCTATGTGCAAGTGTGGGCAAGAGTCAGCTGTAGTGGAACCAAGAGAAAAGACGGAACAGGAAATTTCCTCATCCAAGCTGCTCTCACGTTCCTCCTCCAAACCTCTGAGAGCCTCTAGAATGGTCTTGCTCATGGTGCTCCTGTGCCTGTACACTGTGCCCATGGGGCCACATCATCCCTTGAGAAAGGAGATATGATTAAGCACATACTTGTAACCCTTGGATGACTTCCATTATCCTTAAAACAAACCCAATTTCATGATGTCAAAGGTGCCTACTACAGACATGGATGTACAAAGGTTCATTCAGAGGCAAGACTTATGCAGAGAAGATTATTAAGGTGCTGATTCTGGAGCAGGTGGAGGGACCAAGAAGAGTGGTGCAGGGGGCAGTATTAGTGGATACAATGATATGTTCATCATTTCATCACTCATGTGGGTGATTAAACCACCTGGATCATCTGAGGAACTTTCAAGGAACATCCTCAGAATCTTCCTTTACGTGGAAAAGGTAAGAAGCTCCACATGGGCCTGCACCAGGCAAGGGGTATCAGGCCTCCATATTCCATGTGGGCATCTGAGTGGAAGCTCTGAGCAGGAGCAGGAGCACAGGATGTGCAAACCTATCTCACCATCTCTGTCACTCCTGAGGAGCCTGCTGGACTTAGTAAGTCTTTTTGTATGCACGACCCTTGACCCTCGGGAAGGCTTATCACCATCCCTCTAAACCTCCATTAGTCCATGTTCCCTTGTGACCAATATTGATTCCTCCATTTCTTCCTGAAAGAGCCTACAGAGTCATAGCCACCTTGCTACCTCTCACCTGAATAGTGTCTTTCACTCCTTCATCAATCCGTCAGCTCTTGAATAGTTCGCATACTTTCTTAGATATCCGTGATGCTGAGTACCTTAAGCACCGAGTTCTGAAATTTCCCCTGCACCTTGGTAATTAAATTCCCTGTGACAACCCTGCACCCAATGCAATTCTAGTGTAATGCTTGTGTGAGCTGAGATTTTTTTGGATGTGAGCAACATAAGCAGACTCTGGGTGACGTGAACAAAAGGAGCGTCCATTGGAGGTAGTTAGCACGTTCACAGGGTGGAAGAAAGAAAAAATCCACTTACACCGCAGACAAGTGAGCCCAGCTCCAACCCCAGGAACTTACAGTCCTCTTCCTAGTGTTCTGCCAGAGCTGGCTTAGGTCCAAACACCTGATGTCCAGTGTCCCCCATTTAGGCTTCACATTCTCATTTTTCTCGCAAGGGAAAACAAGAGTTTGGGTCTTGGGTTTTACCAGATTAGGCACAAAGGCATCATGAGCAGACTTTTCACTCCTGATAAGATAAGCAAAGGATTAGACTTTTTCTATGGTAAGAAATACAGGGTCAGATAACTTCATGAAGAATTTCCCAGTCTGGATCAGATGTGTGAGTAAAAAATCTTCCTGAAGTTCTGTTCCCAGCAAAGACCTGTGTTAGAGAAGTTTTACTTAGCTAGGATCTCTTTCAAGCACACACAAATGTCTGTGTGTGTCTCTGTGTGTGTCTGTGTGTGTGTCTCTGTGTGTGTCTGTGTGTGTGTGTGTGCGTGTGTGTGTGTGCGTGTGTGTCTGTGTGTCTGTGTGTGTGTGTCTGTGTGTGTCTGTGTATGTGTGTCTGTGTATGTGCATGATGTGTGCCTGTGTCTGTGCCTCTGTATCTGTGTGAATATCTGTGTGTGATGTGTGTTTGTGTTTGTGTATGAGTATGTATATGTCTGTGTGTGATGTGTGTGATGTGTGATGTGGGTGGTGTGTGTGTGATATCTGTATGTGCCTATATATATGTATGTATGTATGTATTTCTCTGTGTGATGTATGTCTGTATATCTGTGTATATGTCTGTGTGTGATGTGTGTGTCTATATTTGAGTATGTGTCTGTGACTGTGTGTATCTGTGTCTCTGTGCATGCTCATGTGTGAGTCCTGGTGTATGTGTGCCACAGTGCTCATGAAAGGTCAGAGGAAATCCTCAGGTGTCAGTCATTTGCTTCCACTACCTCTGAGATAGGGTCTCTTGTTGTATGCCACTGT